TAAAATCGCTCCACTCAGAATCTAAAATTATGTAAAACTTATTAATAACACCAACAATATCAAGTAAGATATTAGGCACTTTACTTAAAGATTGAATATTTAAAAATAAAATCGATGTCGCTAAACATTGGTTATTATAACATATATACATAATACACGTTTTGTAACACTTCAACAAAAATATAATTATTGGGAATATTTCAATAAAAACTTAGACACTTATTAAATTCCAAATTATATTAAATATCTATGCTTATTCGGTTAAAATAAAGCTAAAATTCGGATAAAATTGATTTACCACCAAATAGTAAACAATCACTAATTTAGTCAATTATATTTGTTATATGAAACTGGCGCATTTTACGACCAACTCATTTATTATGCGTATAATTATGGAAAAACAATGTGTGGCCTATTCTTCAAAGGGTAGTGTAAAAATAAATATTCTGAATCTAAATCGTATACATTATCATTTAAAATTGTAAATATATAAAAAGTTAAGCAACACAAAAAAATATTGTTAATTCTCTTAATAAGAACCCTAATGGCAATCATTACTCCGAGTCTTTGAAATACCTATTCGGTTTATTGTTTAAATAACATCGGTAGCTGGAAAACTATATATTTTTTAATGATTAATTATATATATTAATTAATAATAAGTTGTCTTATATTGTGAATTTCTGAGATTCACTCAGGAGTCAGGAGCAACTATACATAGAATAATATCATACTAAATTGTTTTTTACGCATAACTGTATCAATATTGCCTATCCACTGCGCCGGGGTCGTATTATGATATAAACTAGTATAGAAGTAGTTTTATTATAAATATTAAATACTGTTTTTAGATTCTGAATTTGTGACAAATGTATTAGTCTAACAATGATGTGTATTTTTTTGGTCATGGCATTATTGAGCAGTAAAATCGCTTCAATTTTCAACTCTGATGGAGACTAAGTTGGCACTTTGAGAAGTTAAAAGTAAACAATCGACCACATTTTTAAAAATAATCGAGAAAATGTTGTTTTTTGTTTATATTTCAAACGTCAAGGAAACATTGAATGAGTGGTTTTGTTTTTGGAATTTAGTTCAACCTACCGTATTACTATTAATACACGATAAAATATCCTTAAAAATATATGCTGACAGACCTCCTCCGCCTAAAATCGTTATACAATGATGTATTGTTGAATTTAAATTTAACATATCAACTAAAATTGCCTACTCAATGACTTAACTTAGCCTACTACACAACACAAAAACTCCATGGTTATTTTAAAATATATACGTGTGCGTGTATACTGTTTAAATGAAAATTTTGAAATACGAAATATTGATACGTATACAATAAAACATTTGACGTTAAATTATAGATTATGATACAATTTCGTCAAACTGAAAATCAAGTTTTAATAGCATAACTGATTTCGATTCGATTAATTTAGGATCTTATACCATCGTTTGACTTGATAAATTATTTATTACTCATGCAGTTATACCTCTTGGCTTTTTTAAGCAGTCGCCATTCAATGGCTGTTTCCCATCTGCGCACAGACATTTTCTTTTCTTGTCACTCGGATCTAACGCACAAGATGTAAATGGCGTATCCAAACAATCAGAGTCCGTAGTACAATCCTGAACTGCATTATTAACTGAAAAAAAATATAAGGTATTAAATTTATTTCTAACTAGCATTTCATCGTTTTATTTTATATATACCAAATTTTTATTCACGAAAAAAATAATAGTTACTGTTAACCTTTTACAAAAACAAGATGTTTGAACAAAAACGTGTCGCAAATTTAATACAAGGCGAAGCAGCATAAAAGTCTAATTATAACGGTGATTAGTTTTTTCATAAATCACGCACTTTAATTTTTTTTTTTTTGAAAAATCCATTAGACACGCCCTCAATTTTATAATAAACAGTTCACAGTTGGCATTATATTTACACTCCATTGAATTGTGGATTTTAACATAATAACACATTACAATGACGTTATATAAATATTTTGGCACCAAGTTAAACAGTTTTCAATTCTGGAATAAATTGCTAACTACAGTAAATTACGTTGTCTGTATACGCTGTTTAAACTATAGTACCTAACTTAATAAGACGTATATAACAATTAAATATAAACAATTTTAACGTGTTTATTTTATAAATGAACCCATTAAAATAATGTAATATACTTATGCCCCTAATATATTTATAATTAGAATTAAATCATAATTAATTCCAATTCATGACACGGTAATATTTTTTTTTTTTGGAATCCGACGTTTTTTTTCAAGATATTTAACCTGATAGGTATCGATATACCAGATATTTTTCAATCAATGATCAAAATGACGAACAATTATTTATGGAACACTATAAATACGGTTTTTTATAATTACGTTAATTTTACTTACCTATTTTGGCTATTTTGATTTATTTCTACAACTTCAGTTAGTTTAAAACCGTTCATCATTCAAGATTTTTGAATTTATCGTGGTACTGGAGGTCCCATAATAGTTTCACACTTTTACGAAATTCATAATACTTCCTATAGAGTTACCCTAATAGGTTATACATATTATTGAATAATAATATATTTGTATTTTTAAGAATGTTCAACAATTAATTCACTAATCTTGACGCTATCATAACTTTTTCTGCACTTTTTCCAATCGTCTTTTTTTCGTAACCAACAGTGTAACTACTATTAATTACATTGTATAGTACTAAATATTAAATGCTAAATAATCACACTTACTACCTACATAATTTACAATTTATTTGTTATAAAAATGTCGCACTTTAATGATAATCATACGAACTATAAAGTTGGCAAAAAAATTAATATACATCAAACGATGGATATAATATCTATGAAATGGCATCGACAAAAAAATTTAAATATTAAGCTAAATCTACGCATACCAAATATAATGTAAATATTATATAATACTGTATCACTTAATCTGTAATCATGTAACATACAATCTAAATAACTAAAGTATCCATTAATAATACTGAATCTCCAATCGTATAGACTAACGATCTAGCTGTTGAAGCCTTATTCTTAATAATAATAAAAATATCTATGAAAATTAAATCACTCAATTAATAGGTAGTGTGTGGATAATTGTATTTAACCGTTAGCCACACGTAATTGGGCATAAAATAATGTAAATTATTGGGAGTTAAAATCCGAAATATCGCCACTGACCAAAATCTGTGGTTAAACTTAAAACACGCCGAGTAATCTTAACATAAGCCAAGCGTCAAACATAGCACATGCATATTATACATATTTAATTTTATTATATATGGTCAGGCGAAACGCCTATTCCGCTTATATAACGTGACCCGTGTAAGGCAGGTGTACTTGTTTTCGCGGAGGGCGCTTTGTCGTGTCGACGTGTTATATATTATATAGCTTTAACTATTGTACATGTCTACAGAAATACGTTTAAACACATGGCCTGATTTCTGTTTTAATTTCAAACGTCGAAACTCAACACACACACACACACACACACATACACACACATATATATATATATTATATTTATAGCTATATAATAGTATTTAACTACTATATAATGTAATTTATTGAAAATTTTATATCTGAAGTTGAACGCATCAGTCTAAAATACTATTACACCTATTATACATACTAATATAGTTTCATTTATTAATCTAGACAAAATATGTTATTGTTGCAAGTCCACTTTTAAATGAATCTATCGGATTTATTGAAAATGGTATCGTTTAATGTATAGGCACTGCAATAATTATAAATACTCACAATTTTTTTAGCTTCTATATAATGTGGAAACATATTGTGCTCAGTCATTCCTCTACAAATTATTAAACTTCCATGACAATAATTCAAACTATTTTTATTATTTTTATTGACAATCAAGTGAAGCATCGTGCCCTTAATGTATTATAGATTGCTATAGCATTGGTTATTTGTATACATTTAAATATTTCTTATTAAGTACATATTTATATGTGCGTTTAATATTCATAACTGTATCAACTATATTGACCCACGTGGATGCAAAAATTATTAAATACAAATTAAATGATTGCAATATATATTATATATTGTCGTACAGTAGTGGTCCAATCACCATTTGGTTGATTGGGACAAGTCGTTATTTTGCCATTAATTATTATTTCATATGCCGGAAAAGCGCTTAATCCAGGGTTGTTGTTGTAGGTACCTAATCCGTATACATTATCATTCAAGTCTCGTTTATGAGTGCGACGTTATTATGTATTGTATGGCTATTCTTTAAACTATTTGACCAATTTTACGAGTGAGTAATTTGTAATTATAATCGTTTTGAATTAATTTTTTGGGGTAATAATATACATTATGGTACCTATTATATGAAGATTAACGCATTGGCTTAGATCCAACACAGCTTATATTGTCATCATTTAATAATTAATACACTTTTAGGTTATTTAAAGTGCCAATAATATTTAAACGGAGATATAAAATTATATTTCAACATCGTTGATTTTATGTATACCTAAACATACATTAGAAAACAGTTAAAAAGACTGTGCCGATAAGATAACAAAACGAAAAATAATAATACTAACATTGTTGGCACTTTCGATTTACAGTTGTTACAATAAGCTTCATCGGGAGGCATTTTACTGTTATAGTATATCGTATTATGTCCATTAAATAAACAACCAGTAATAAATTCACGTGAAACGCAAACAACGATATCAGTGAACATCGTAGGAATACTGCGAGCTCGACGAATACACTAAAAGAACGTTATTTCTGCGTATGATAATAAATAGCGAGGGAAAAATCGTCGTCCGTCACGTAAGTTATACGTAATGGTTTTTTACAGTCAAATCGGAAATCCGAGAATTGAATGAACATAGTTTTTAAACCCAAAAAACACTGTTACCCGCGATGTGCTTCACGAACACAATGAAATTCGCGTGAAACTGTAAGCCAAAAAAAAACTTAGAAGGGTAAACGGACAAACAACTCTGTAAGCGAATCGTGCGTATACAATATAATACATCATAATTTAATGTTTATAATAATTATTGCGATTGTTTGCACCAAGTTTTGTGTACATATATATTATGTTATAAATTATATGAAATACTATAGCTGTAACGCCGCATAATTTTTTTCCATTGTTACGTCATTATTTTAATATTATACAATTTTATATAGGTACCTGTACTACTTGTAAAACAAAAAACAAAAAAACKGTCTATTATATAATAAATACATATATTATGCACGTGGGCGGTAAGAACACGCGGAACCTACCTAAACAATTTTTTTAATGTAAAATTGTATGAACTTGAATTTTTTCCCCTCTACGTGTTCGTCGAAGGCGTCAAACAGTTCGTTTGCAGTCGTTGCCGCCATGGTCGTCGCCACTACCGCTATACAAAACACGGCACACTTATAATACATAAACATTATGATATATATTATATACATATATGTGTGTGTGTTGTATACCCATGCAGTTACCTTAGCTGCCGCCGCAACCTTAGCGTGCGAAAGAACCGTAAATAGAAAATGTATATATATATATATATAACTTTCTTTTTTTTACTCCCCTCACTATTTTACTTTCTAACCCCCGTCCACCACTCTTAATCCTCTCTTTCCGCGTATTTTTCCTATTCACCACCGATTTTTTAATTTCCCTTCATGYCCGAGCACGAGCATTGATAATATTATTCGCATAAACACAATATACACATTGCACTAAAGTGTATGCTGCGGATCGATAAAAAAAAATTAAAACAGTCAAAGGTATAATATAGTACTTGTATAACAGAGTTGTCAATTTATCAGTGTGCTGAAGCAAAACGATCGAAATTTTATGAACCATAATTATTTTGCGTTACTTCGACGTTTATGTAGACTATTACTTCAAATTGTAGGAGGAGGGAAATAGGATGTTGCGAAACTTATGTGGTTAAGTAAGTGCCCCCAAAAATGTTATTTCATAAAATGATTAAAAAAATGCTTATAAGTACTTATAATCATCTTCAGATTTCAAAAGTGTAATCTCTGTTGTAACTCAAAATTAAACGCAGTTGCAGTATACATATATATTTATATAATATTATGCAAAATAGGCAGTAGCCCAATTTATGTTTTATATATACATAAATATAGAACAAAAATATCTCAGCAAACGCAGTGTTTGAGAATTTATTACTTTTTCATCGATATAGCTTTTGTGGTTTTTGCGATTACTGAGTGCTATCAAACACACAAACATATTTATCTATATTTATATTTATGCCTATATATTATAATCTAGTATTTGTATATTTTATTGATTATATATAGATCCACTGAATCCTCATATACGCTATTTTTGTTCGTTAAATGCCCCAAAGTTCTTAATTTATACATTGGAAACGTGCGCAAAATATTCTTATGCAAACAAATAAATCTTTACATAAGTAATGCATATATTATAATACCTGCTGCATTGGTGCAGAAGTTGCCACAAACCATTTTGAAATTCATCTAAGTGCCTGCATGAATATTATTACCTGGTCAGAATTTTTTTTAAATATTGCGACTGAGCTGCAACGAGCATCATGCTCCAAAATTTATGCAAGTTCGTAACAACAACGTGTATACTTAAAATTTGTACTTGTAACGATCAAACGTCAATTGGTCGACACAGACACAAACCGATCGCGCTGAGAAATTATGTAGCGAACAAGAAACGAACAGTGTGACACAATAATATCATAGTATGTCTAAACCTACGCGGCGGATTGTGTAAGGTGTTGTTCAAACACTGCAAACCGTAAGTTTATCAAGCACGCACGCATTATAGTATAATAATTATTAAACCAGCATAATACCGGAATAATATCGCTCACCTGTCGCGTTTTTGTTGCTCGAGTTGCCTCCGAACGTCGTGGACCATCGCTTGTTCCGGGTGGCTGACGACGCTACCGGAACTACAACGCCGGCGACGGCGTCTGCCGCGATGGTGCCGCGTGGGCCACCACCAGCCACCCCGACGACGGCCATGCCGGCTGCCGGCTGCAGCAACAGCAGTGCGGCCACCGCACAACAACTGGAGTACGCCGCCAAAAACTCGTGCACCATCCGCTGGGCCATGATTGTCTCGAAGACGTGTCCGCGGCGCCGCGTCTCAACAACAAATGGCCCGCTGCGTCGGTCGCTGCTCGCTGTTGGTGTGTGTGTGTGTGGCGTGCAGTGGTTGGCGTGTGCGTGTACGTGTGTACTTGCGTGCGCGCACGTGTGTGAGTGTGTGTGTGTGTGTGTGTGTGTATGTCGCT